TAAGGATTGGTCCCTGATTATTGTATAGGTGACCTGTAGTACTAGTTTTTGGATTTTAGAGAGTTGTGATGTTATCTGCTCGATTGCAAGGTTAGTTTTCTCACTATACTTTGTACTGCAGTATATATCCTTGTATGTAGGATGTTGGTATGATGTAGTGATATGTTTGATTGGTATATCTGTTATGATTTCTGGCTATTATTTGTTTGTTTGTTTATGTTCATATGTCGACATATTGTGGTAGGGTTGAGGCGGTCTTGCTTTGTACTGTAGGCCAAGACACATGGGCGGTCCAGTGTAATGTAGGCCTTGCGAGGTGGTCTAGTCAGACTGTAGGCCCAAAAGAGCGATCCAACTTCTGTAGGCCTTGAGAGGCCGTCCAATAGACCGTAGGCTCAATAGGTCGGTCCAGTGTATTATAGGCCTTGCAAGGCGGTTCGGTCAGACTGTAGGCCCAAGGGAGTGGTCCAACTACTGTAGGCCTTGTGGGGCGGTCCACTCAGGCTGTAGGCCCAATGGAACAATCCATCTACCGTAGGCCTTGAGAGGTAGTCCAATAGACTGTAGGCTCTATAGAGCGGTCCAAGTGTCATCTAGGCCTTCTGAGGCGGTCCAGACAGGGTGTAGGCTCATGTGTGCACGCATTGTATGTGTATTATTGTGTAAGGTATTTTGAGGGAACTCAGTAAACTTTGGCTTACAATTGTGAATTTAAATTTTTTAAGGCACTTCAGATGATAGGGCAAGACGAAGGCATGATCGTACACATCCTCCTACTGATTTATGTTTGAGAGATGATATTATTACTTTGATTTTTATGGTTTTGTTTTGAAATAATGATTGATTACTTTATGAGTTTCTAAAAATGTCTTTTGGAAACTTCAATTCTTTATCATGGTTTTGGGACGTTACACGAGTTGGAAAAGCTATTTATGGTACTAATGGGGGTTACGTTGCTTTGACACCACAAAGGTTTGGGACAGGGACTTGGAATAGTATTATTCGGATGCTAGGTCATCTTCGTGAACGTCAAATTGATTTTCACTCCCTTTGTTTGATTCACGTGGGTGACGGGGCTTCTACTTTTATATTTGTGGGATGTAAAAGCACTTGGAATTCTAAGAATTGTGATTAACACTTTCAAAATGAAGTATTTTAGTGGTACTCTAAAAATCTCAATTGGATAAGACTCAAGAATTGAGAGACAATAATAAAGAATGTTTGATGGTATGATTTTTGTGTGTTGTACTAGAAAATGATGACCAAAATTGGTTATATACCTCCCTTGTATGAAAATTGTCACAAAACAGTTTTCTATGTCCTAAAACTGTCCAAAACCGTCACAAGACTGTTTTTCAATAGCTCGACCTCAGGGGCTCTATCCCTTGGACCTTGCTAGGGGATGCTGCCCCTTGGACCATGCTTCCAGGGGTGCTTCCCCCGGATCCCATTCCGTTCAGGGGCTTCACCCCTAAATAGCAATGTACTTTCAATCTTTAACAAACTCAAACAAGTGTGCACTCCGCACCATCCTTGTGTGTCTAATGTTTATGGAGATTGCTTTTGGTCTACAAAATTAATCCCATTACACTTAAATAATATTAGTGAAAAGAAATCACGAACACTACTTCATTTTGGGAGGATGTTTAGAGGGAAATTTTCCTCTTGCAGTGTCTTTTCACATGATTTTTTTTCGCTAGATAATCATACGCATGCTTATGTCAGAGAGATCTGGTGTGTTTACGCTGGGGTGAAGAGAATTACAGGTGTTTGCCTAGGGGTGGTATTGAGCAGACTTAGTGGGACGATTTCAAGGTGTTGATGCAGAATCTTAAGTTGCAGACCAGACCAAATAGATTGGGGTGGCTTTATGATGCGACAAACGCTTTTACCGACTCATTCTCTTCTTGAAAGTAATTCCCTTTTAGTAGGAGAAATGAAGACTAAATGGAATAATTGGGTTCCTATTAAACTCAATATTCTTATTTGGAGGTTAACATTGCAGAGTATTGACACTTGAGAAAGATTATTATATAGAGGTATTGAGGAGGAATCGATTATGTGCCTTGTCTGTAGAGACTATATATCATCTCTTTGCTTGTTGCAGTGATTTTTTGTTGGGAAGACAGACTAATCTACTCCTAAATTAGGGATAATGACTCGAGAGGGAAACGAACTTTTAACTTTGTTCACATTTAGTCACCGAATTTTTTTCATGCTTGATTTACCCTTGAATTATTTGAAATTGTTCACATTTTACTCTTATGATCGGTTATAACCCGTCATAAGGGTATAATGTGAACAATTTCAAATAATTTAAGGGTAAATCAAGCACGAAAAAGTTGAATGACTAAATGTAAAGACAATTGAAAGTTTGTTACCCTTTCAAGCCATTATCTCGTAAATGGTTTTAATTAATGTTATTAAGAATGAGCACAAGTTGAATATGAAGATCACAAAAGCGAGGATGTTGTAGTAATAATGTGATATACATTTATTATGTATGGTACTAGAAACAACACTTAGAAGTACAATAGAAGCGACTTTAATCACATTGAAGAAACAAAGATTATGGTGGTTTCAGACATATACTTAGGACATATGCAACAGATTTCACTCCATAGGGTGGAGACAGTCATTGTAGATCGTGCGAGGTAGAGAGAGCATATGATAAAGAAGCGTAAAGATAATGCAATGTTAAACTTGAATGAGGTTTTTCTCTTTACAAAGACACGAGATTTGATTAGAGAGTGTGGATGCATAAGATCAAGGTCGTGGAGTAGTACATGAGTAGTCTAGGTGCCAGTTGCCTTTACAATGTTTGTGTATTTTTCCTAGTTTTCACTGTTTTTTCTTTGAACTTGTTTTTTCGATACTTTTCTTCCTAGTTATTACTTGTATCTACCTTTTCTATTTGTATGTTGGTTGTAGATGTACCTTCTCACCATGCTCCTTTTGATTTTTGATCTATTTTTCATTTTATTGGTCGTATATGTGTCTTTTTGCCTTTATGAAACTATACTAACTATTTCTTCTTTGTGGGTTGGCATTTCACTTATATGTGAGTAAAGAAAAACTAGTTAAAAGTTTACCTTATTGACTAGTATTAAAGCAATGAACTACAACATTGTTATGTGATACGCATTCTATTCTGTAATACTCCTTACAAACACAACACAAAACAAATCGTAGTGACTGAAATCAAAATTATTAATCTAAGTAATTTCTACCAATAGGCAAAATAAACTAATGGATGATTACAAAAAGGGATAATGGCTTGAAAGGGTAACAAACTTTCAACCAGTTCATATTTAGCCACTGAACTTTTTTTTTCGTTCTTGATTTACCCATGAATTATTCGAAATGTTCACATTTTACCTTTATGACCGGTTGTAACCAGTCATAAGGATAAAATGTGAATAATTTTAAATAATTCAGGGGTAAATCAAGCACGAAAAAAAATTGAGTGACTAAATATGAACAAAGTTGAAAGTTCGTTACCATCTCAAGTCATTATCCCCCTAAATTAACATCTATGTCTCCAACGACCTTTGGACCCATATTACTATTTGGTGGGATGTGCATCTTCCAGATTAGATTTCTGTTCGGTCCTTATTTTCTTTGGCGGACGTTGTTTCGTTGATGAGAGGTCAATGAAAAGCTTTTGATATTGTGGTTTTGATTAGTTTTTTCTGTATTTGGAATTTTCGTAATTCCACTCTTTTTGGAACTATGATCATAGATAGAGCGTATTTTTAGATTTCTGATAAGTATAGTAAAGCTAAGATTGGTTAGAATGCATGGCTTCACAATCCTGATTTAGCTTATATTTTGTTTTAATGAGTTGTTTCTAGCTTATTGTTACTTTTTATAATATATTTGTCAGTTTAAAAAAAAATTAAACATAGTAGTTCATTATAAAAATTTCAACGCATTAATCTGTAAATTTCTTTCTCACTTCATCAATATAGTAGACGTTTTTTTTTAACGGTAGAAATATATTAACTAAAAAATAGCAAGGTGTTAGAAACACAACGAGTCTGAAAACATTACACGAAAGCACAAAAACATTACAAGAAAGCACAAATAGGGCTATTAAGCCGCACCGCCAATCAACATGTAACTTAGACCCTATAGTGGACGTTTGGGTTTGGTTAAGGTTGGGAACGAAAACCAAATGAGATTATTTGGTGAAAGATAAGTAGTTGACATTGATGTTGTCAAGTACACGAAGTCCAACCAAGCAACCGCAAATGGCGGCTCTGAAAATTAAATCAAGACTAACTTACAAAAATCCCCCCTGAACTCTTGATCGTTATAGATTTGTTCAGAACTAAAGAATCCTACAACTTAATCCCATTTCCGTTAAATTTAACGGGATTATGTGCATAACACATGATTGTGTACTTGTATCATTTCTTTCTATCATACTTTGTCGAAGCATCCCCTTAAGAAGACATGAATGATCACACTCAATTCATAAAGTCATATGGTCACAGATAATGATTTAATGGGTAATGAACCCAAAACTTTGAAGAGTTTTCTGAATATTTTCCTAATTTTTATATTAAAAGTTATACATATCAAAATTTTATAAATTTTATTAATTGGATAAGTTGTATTAGAGTTAAAATACACATTATATTTATGATCGTTAAAAAGTGACATTTTCTTATATCCATAATAATTATGGTATCTTTTATTATATAGAAGTCAATTAATAGAATGTATATCGTGATACGAAACAGGCATTAGGGTATCCGATTAAAATCCAGAAGAACAATTTGACTGATTCAACGTTTACGACCTCTAACATCGTTTGTATGCCCATCTCTAAACTACTACGACGATCACGCGGGTGTCCCTTTCTTAAGCTTTATCTATTTAAACACAACTACCTACGCAAATTACTTTATTCTAATCCTTAGAACATCACCCACTTCATATCCATTCAATCTTTTAATCCGAATTTCAACTTACTTTGCTCTCTAACTTCAATAATGGTGGCCCAAGACAAGAACAAAAGATGGTCGTTGTTAGGTAGGCTGAGGACGGCGGTGAAGAAGGTTACATTCCTCTTAAACCTCGATATAAACCGGTGGTATATTGTCTCCTCCTTGATCGGTGGTCGTCGTACTTTGAGCAGCCGGCGGCTGAGTTTCAATGAACGACTTGGGTTAACATCGATCGTCTCCTCCCCCGCACATGATGAATATTATAGCACCTGGGCTTCTCCTTACACAGCGACTTCTTCTTCTCAGATATCACCAGAGCAAGGTGAGCTACAGCTACAAAAGACTCAAAGCTTTCCTTTGCAAAGAACCACAAGTTTCCCAGAAGAAGATGATATTGATAGGAGAGCTGAGATGTTTATAACGAATTTTAAACGACAATTACGGATGGAAAGACAAGTGTCTTTGGAGCTGAGGTACAGAAGAGACAATAGCTTTGAATCATCGAATACTATTTCACCATGATCATGAATTCATGATGGGTGCTTTTTTTCTTTTGGAAAGTAAATAACGAGTTTTTGGAGAACTTATAAATAATCGGTAATGGGTTAACAGTCGTTCTTCAGCAATTATTTTGGCCATGGGAAGTACTGAGATCGATCAGATTGATGAATCAGGTTTTGAAGAAAGAGTCAACGATTTGATCACGTATTCTGGTCTTCAATTTGGTTATGAGATCTTCAATTATTTGTATGATTGCTTTTTTTTTTTTTTTTGATTCTTTTATTAAGTCGTGAAAGAGAGCTGTTGGAAAATAAAAAAAGTTGTGAAAGGAGGAAAAAAGAATTGGGCTGCTTTGGTACATAGTCAGAGCAAAATTCTTTGAATTACATGTATCTATTTTGTATTATAGTTAGTCAATGCACCATTTTGTTTGTAGTCCTTTCTCATCTTTGTATAATTAAAGGTGTTGAAAATATGTGAAGGAAACGCTTAAGGTCTCAAATTGATCATTACTCTCAAGAGGCCTAGTCACATCGAGGGACATAATCCATGATGGAGATCAATGCAAATTAATTTACTTAATAAGAACAAAATTACAAATAAATCAATGATGTTGGGGATCGTACAATTGCGTCTAGGATTTGATTGACTTAGTACTCAATTTTGATAACAATGGAGGCATGAACCAGTCGATCATGTTATTGATCAAGAATTTGATTACAAAACGTCAAATACAAAGGGTATAGATACACATATAAAACTTAATTACAAGTAAGTAAATGTAGAAGGTGCCAACTAACTACGACTAATTGCAAGACGAACCCCGAAGACAATCCAGGATACTCATAATATACGCTAATGAGTAATGAACAACCCCCTCAAACTCAAGTAAGGAAAGTACGATCCAACTTGAGTTTAGAGACGATAAAATGAAAATGGCTAGGTAGACGTGCGTTAGTATAGATGTCAGCATGATGATCAGTATGGAATTATGAGAAAACGAACAATTGTGTTGACATGCTGATAGACAAGTTATAATCAATCTAAGTGTGCTTCATACGCTTATAGAACACATCATTATGACCCATCTGAAGAGTGTTGTTGTTGTACTAGAATGATGTAGGAAGGGACTGAGAAGGCTCCTCCATGTCATCTAAATTTAACGAAGCCAAACTAATTCATGAGCTGTATTAGCTAGATCCGATATCTAGATTCAATACTCGAGAGAACTATAAGAGGCTGTTTTTTAATTCTCCATGATATGAGAGAATCGTCAAGAAAGAAACAATAGCCGATAGTAGATTGCTTATAAGACAATTCATCATCCCAATATGCATATGAGAAGGCTTGTAGAATCAGAGATGAGCCAGACAAAAAAAGAAGTGCATGTAACATTGTCCCTTAAGGTATTGAAGAATCTCAATGCCACCAACATACGGAGAGAGCAACGAGCTGCCATAAACTGTATAACTATGTGAACAACATATGTATGGTTTGGACGCATAGCCTTCACATAAACTAAAAAGCCAACCAACTGATGGTAAACAAGGGCATCACCTAGAGGAGTACAACTACCTGGAACTAGCTTGATGTTGAACTCCAAAGACATGAAAGACACTTTGGCATATGTCGATCTAACCACGATAAAAATAAGATATATACTTGTGTTGGTATAATAGACCCCAAAAGAGTTAGAGAGAATTTCAAGGCCAAAAATAATAATAATGGAGGTTCTTGAGATATTTTATTTCAAAATAAAAGTCACAAGACTGTTTAAAGCTCGTAATACCTGCACAATCACTTTTAGTAATGATCATATCATCCGCATATAGTAAAATGTGAATATTACAAAAGTCTGTGGTTTGAGTTAAAAGTCATGAATCGTAGGGACTTGAAGAAAACCCTAGTGAAATAATGCTACTGCTGAACTTTTCAAATAAAGAATGATGACATTATTTAAAGTTGTACAATGCTTTCTAAAGGCGACAAACATGACTCAATGGAAGAGCAACCCTACTCGGAGGTCACATGTAAACTTCCTTAGGAAGATATTATTGAGAAAAGCATTTTCCATGTCCATTTAATAAAAGGACCAACTATAAGCTACACAAATGACTAGTAAATTGCAAACCAAAGTGTTATGATCAATCAGAGCAAAATTCTCCTCATATTCGATTATATATTCATGATTGAATCATTTGGAAACAATTTGTTCTTTGAATTTATTAAACGTGCAATTATATCAGATTTTCACTTTGTAACCCATTTGGATCCAACAAGGGACTTTCATGGAGAAGTGGAACAAAAATCCAAGTTTTGGCATTTTCCAAGGCATGTAGATTATATTGCATAACAATCAGCTACATGGGATTGGATATATCTTCATTATATCAAGTAGGTTCATGGTGATACATGAGATATGAATAGAAATGGAAATCACATATATGAGAGGGAAATATTTCGTACTTGGTATGAGCGTCATGTTCCATGTGGTGGATTATTGTTTGGATACGAGGTTTGATAAGACTTCTAAGGAATAAATTGTGGAGCTGTATCTGGATGGTATGTTTGATCCCATGGAATGAACTGAGAGATGTCTGAGGATGGTCATTCAGTTTCAAAGGATGGTGATGCAGTCTCAATGTGCTCTAGTTTAAGTATGTGCATTAAGATTGAGTCATCAGGAAAAGGGACGATGAAGAAAATTAAACCTAAAACTTGGAAAGTGAAGAGAACATTCATGTTTACAAAAAGTAAAATTATGGAGACCCGAATATGTTTAGAAATAAGATCCCAACATCATTAATCCTTGTGTTCAATGGCATTCCCAAGAAAATAACACATGTATGAATGAGGCTCAAGTTTTGAGTGTTCATGCAGGTGTAGTTGAATAAAAAGCACAAACCCATACCAAATGAAGATCACAAACCAGAAATATAGTATGAAGAAGTTCATAAGGATACATTTTCAAGTGAATAGGAGTTAGATCACATTTGATAATGTAGCATCGGTAAAGGTTGCTTACCCCTAGAAGTATTCAAGTACTAGTAAGGAAATTACAAGAGTACAAATATTTTCTGGAATATTGAAGGGCCAATATATATGCTTTGGGCTAGGCAACAATGTATAGATGAGTTAGGGCATTTGACAATGTATTTTGGAGTCTATTGTGTGTGTTTGACGTTTTCGGTCTAGGCAAGCTTTCGGTTGGGAAGTGACCGAAAACAGGTTTTCGGTCTGCCTGACCGAAACCTGTTTTCGGTCCAGTTGGGTATATATAGTCTTGTCAGGTTGTCAGTTGAGAGTTGTTGTTCTACAGTTGTTTACTGTGTGGTTTTCGGTCCATTGAGTTGTATCAGACGGTTTCATGTGTTAATCGTATGCAAGATCAAGTTCATTCAATCTTCTACTCATTTTCTTCTTTATTTTCATTTGCTTGATTGATCATTGGTGAAGATCCTTCTATCAAGGACCTTACAATTGGTATCAGAGCAAAACCGGTGTCAATCAAGTGTGTTCTTCTGTTTTCGGTCTTCACAGATTCGTGTTCATCAAGTTCTCGGTCCTTGGAAGTGTACTGTTTGCTCGAGTTTTGAAGACTAGATCAGAATTTGCATCGTTTGGAATTGAAATCATTTTAGAATTCAACTTTTCGATTGAATTCTCAGTGTTTTCGGTTGGATCTTCATAAACCGAAAACATATATTCAATCGTTTTTTGTCCAGATCTATCTTGTTTGAAGGCTGTGTTTGAGGTTTCAGTGTGTGGAAATCAATTTAGGATCGAAAATCTAAGTTTTTCATTGAAAACTGTTAGTTTTCGGTTCAATCTTCAGAAACCGAAAACTGTTCTTCAAGTTCTTCAGAAACCGAAATCTGTTCTTCATCCGGAAAACTTCAAGTTCTTCAACCGAAAATCATTTTTCTTTGAATCTTCAGAAACCGAAATCTGTTCTTCATCCGGAAAACTTCAAGTTCTTCAACCGAAAATCATTTTTCTTTGAACCTTCAGAAACCGAAAACATCCTTAATCTTCAGAAACCGAAAACCCCCCTTATCAATTCAACCGAAAAGCTTTTTCTTTGACTTTTTTGCTTGTTTTTCATGTTAATTTTTATTAAAAATTAAAAAAAAAAAAAACAAAAACAACAAAAATCAAAAACAAAAATGGAATCTCAAAGCATGTCAGCTCATCTTGAATTAGATGCCATTATGGGAACCACTTCTCGAATTCCCCGACTGTTATCTGCGGAAGGATTTCCAGAATGGAAATATCGGATCGAAAAGTACATCAAAATGAAGGATTTCAAGATATGGCGAAGCATTCTTAGAGGTCCAATCCGCATCACAATCACATTGGAAGATGGAACCATAACTGACAAGCAGGTTGAAAATTACACGGACGATGATTTTGAGAGAGTCGAGGAGCAGGAAAAGGCTCTTGCCAGACTTACCATGACATTATCTCCGGAAATTGCTCAAGGTTTCCGTGAGTATACATCAACAAAGGCCTTATGGGAAGCACTTATTGAAGTCTATGAAGGCAATGAAGACATGAAACAGAGTCACCAAGACATGATGCGACAGAAATTCAATATGTTTAACCATGTCTTGGGAGAAACACTTGAAAATCAGTTGCAGAAGTTTATCACACTTACCACAGAAATGAACTCTACTGGTGTTATGGTTACAAGATCTGAGATCAACAAGAAGTTGCTGAATTCTCTACCAAAATCTTGGGATATGAATGTCTCAGTGATCAAAAAGACCAAAGATTTGAACAGGTTGAGTTTGGCTGAAAGAATGGCGATCATCAAGGCTTGCGATCTCGATGATAAGCAGAGGGAGATTAACCATGTCAATTCATACTCCACAGCAAATCTTGGGATCCAAACCACCAACAACACTGCTTTCTCAAGCTTTTCAACTCCTCAAGTTCCTCCAGTTTCTCATGTTCCACATGCTCAACCTTATGTGACTCATCAGCCTACCTCATATGTGATCCCTCAAATGCAAAACATT